GGAGGGTAGGAGCCTCCCTTGGAATGAAAATATAGACTTCCCCCTCCCTCCGAATTATTATAATTTTGAAATCAAGGGGCTCTCAGGCAGAGATCTGGGGATAGGAATAACAGTTCTTTACTATATGTAGTATGTATAACAAGGCAAACAAACCAGTAACTATAGCATTAACAAAACAGAACTAGGGACCCCGTGACAGCCTTCTCAGCCAAGATGGGAAAGGATGGAGGAGAGGCTTTGCTTCCCAAACGTCCTGGGGCAGTCAGTCCCGGTGCTCCTGCAGGATTCGGCAGATTAGCCAGCTGGAACAGCAGGAGTGAGCAGAGATCTTGGGCTGGTGGCTGAGGTTTATCAGCAGCTCCGCAGTGGTGGCTGGCACTGCCGCATGTCCTGGCAGGACAGGAGGTTCGAGGCCCGCAAACGAAGAAGAAGAAGAAACAGCAGCAGTGCCTTCTGGGTGATGGCAAATTCCCTTCTCCAAGCCCCAACAGCTCCGAGAGAGTGTCTAGCTCTTTAGCCCAAGAAATCAGCCAATCCCTAGCAGCCCCTGCCCTCCCCCTCCCCTGACCTCCTTCCCGCCTTCCCTCCTGGTCCCAGCCAAACTCCTTGTGTTTCTCAAGCGCCCAACAAATACCAGCAATCAGGTGTCCCCACAACTAATGGCCAAAAATTCCATTGGTGGGAAGGAACAAAAGGAAGGACACCTAACCCTCCGCACTAATACAGACCTCCCCAAATTTACATCTGCAGTTCTGATTGTAGAAAAGGTGATACAGAAGATACACAACTGTTATGAGTTAACCTTGCAGTAATTTTTTAAATGTACCACATTATGACAGAGAGTGAAGGTTGACTTTTGACAGTATGCCTTTGTTTTCATTCTAGAAAACCCAAATGGACCAGCGGCCAGTGTGAAAACTGAGGTTCACTCTCCTGATAAAATTTAAAAGGTTTAATAAAGACAATAAGAGACACAAATAATAAAAGAAAGAATAACAGCTGGGTGCTTGGCACTCTCCCAACACTATTTGGTGTTTCAATAACACCCTTTATATACCATTTCTATTGCATCACCTTGATGCATATTCATAGATTTTATGCATATTCAAATTTTTCCATTAACTAGTTTACATCTTCCAGGAACTATTTTGCATGGCTACTCCTTGGATCCACCTTTTTAGAGCATGCACATTTCTTGGCTTGCAGTTTTAAGCCTCTTCTTATAATTTTTAATTTGTGCTTTGGCTCCTTCTTTCCACAGGCGGTGAGCATTGATAGCAGCCAGGTTCCCATCATCTCTTCACTGGAGGTTATCCTAACCAGCAGGCAGTTCTAACATACTATATCGACTATTACCACTTATGCCTAAATTTCTGCTAATAGCAGGAGAAAAAAACTACATTCACACAGCAAAGCTATTCCAACATTATACATATTCATCTTAATACTTACAGAAAGCCAGTATTATAATATGTATTTATAACACCAGGGAGGAGTGACAAAGGGTTTGCATCCATTTGCCAGGTAAAATATTAATCATTGTAGGGCATGTTGCCTAAGTGACATGGCCACAGCTGGGAAAGAAAGCAGGACGGCACCCTTGAATTTTACAGCTGCAGCAGATAAGGGTAAGTTTAGATTTTCCTTCACTTAACAAGAACAAAACAGAACAGAACTTAGGTGAATTTAACTAAGAATTAAACATCCTGAGTGATTTTAAGAGGTCACAATACAGCAACACTTCTGCTTTGAAATGGCAAGAAAAAAAGAGCTGCAATGCAGCTACAATTTCCATGCTGCTGCAATGCTGTCTGTCTTGCATTGTATGAGTAGGACAGGCCTCCCTGTCTGCAGGAGCTCCACTGCAGATGCTTCCGCCTGTCCAGCAAATAACTGATTTGGATGATGGACATTTGTTCTCATGCCCACATGTATGGTCTTGGCCAGCTCGGTTGCAATCTGTTGGGCTGGCAGGAGCTACACACATATGGCAGCCTGATAGAAGTGGCTCTGTGGGCAGCAGGATCCATGTCTCTCACACAGACCTTGTGCAGAAAGCATTGCTCTGGCAAAAGAGCAGTCTTTTTTGGTGAGGTATGGAAAAGGTGGCTGTGAACCATGTGAAGGTACAGTGAAAAATCCAGCAGAGTTTGCTGTCAGCATACTTCTAGAGTACAGATAATTTGGTGAAGACCTTTTAGTGGTGAAGCACCACTACTGTTTACCTAATATCCTCTTGCACTTCCATTTAATAGGAGCTTATTTCTTGTACTAAACTACCATGTGCCTTGTGGTTAGTTATTAACTAGCTTTTGTGTTTGGAAAAGGCCTTTATTTCAGCAGAAAGTGATTATTTTGTAATCTCAGCTCAGTTTGGGGCAACTTTGCAATTTGCTCATGGCACATTCTCTCGAAGAACAAATGCAGTCCTGGTTTTTCTAGGCATTGTTAGTCTGTACATTGTCATCAGATTGAATGAGGTAGGATTGATTTTCAGCAACAGTGAGAAAGAGTAATCCAGAACTAAGTACGATTTTACTAAATGCACTTTGTCAGGGGAATTGGAGGAGATTCTCAAACAAATGCCCCTCCTTTAAGAGCTGTTCACAGCCTCTTCTGCTTTCTCTTGGAGTACAGTCACACAGCCTGGAGATGAGTTTCCTCAGGAATCTTGCTGGTAGGTTCAGTTTTCAGTGCAATCTCTTACAGTATCACACTGTGGAGAAAGAAATTACTTGCCATTTCTGCTATTCTCTCTGTTTCACTTGCTTCATTTTAGGAGAAGTTCCCAGAAAGATTAGCGAACTCCATGTGCTGAAGTGTGAGGGTGGAATGAGTGAGTGGAGGATAGTCTCATTCACGTCACTTGATTTCTATACGCATAAATCTGACTAAAGGAAATGCCAGGGAAAAGGAAGGAGGCAGTGTTTGCTTATTCTAATTACTCATGCTTTCCTATTTCTTTTAATGTCCTCCAGGCATACTTTTGTTAGCTGTAATAATATCTAGAACTATCTGTTGAGGACTAGCTGCTTGAATAATCTTTAAATTCCATGGTTTTTTGCCTTTTAATTCCATTCTTTTTTCCATTGAGATTTTGAGTTCAGGCGGATTGTATTGTTAGATGGGCACTTAGATAAGTTTGAAATGCCATTTGTTTTTCTGTGTTTAGACCCAGATAGCTGAAGTGCTTCACATCTTTGCAGAGGGAAATATCTTTCTGCAAGGCTCAGGTTGGCATCCAAATCTTGTGGCAGTTACTGCTGTCAAGACTGGGAGCCTTCTCTCTGCCAGACACACACACTTGTGCTTTTTTTTTTTTTTTGCTGTACATCTCACTAATTCTTGTGCAAGAGTTGACCAATCTGTGTTATTTCTCTCCTGTGCCAGCACCCCCCTGGGAAAATTCATCATTGAGTATCTGAAGACAGGAGCTTACTTTTGCACCCATCTGGCTTCTAATCTTTAGGGCTGGACAGTAATGACTGATGAGAAGATGATATCAGGAGGGAGAAATGTTTTCTGCCCAGTCTCGTTACTTCAGTAAGGATCTTCCTGAGTTGCAATCCCTGTCTGCAGAACCTTATCCAATTAAGAGTGTAAAACAAACTGTTCCATGAACAATGAACTAAGAAACTCAGTTTCAACAGATTTGTTTTGCTCCTTTCTCTCACTCTTCAAGTCCTAATTCTCCCTGTGACCGTCCTGCTTTTCTGATACTCTAATTTCCCCAGTAAATCCCTTAAATTGTCATCACTTCTCCCAACCACCTGCCACATCTCCGGGCTACAGGATGGGGAAGAGGTGGTAAATAGCCAAGCTCACCATATAGAGGCTTCTCTGATGTCAGTGCCAATTCTTGAATATGCATCAGGCCATTTTATAAAACCTGGGAAAACAACCTATATCTGCTAAAATATTTTTTTAATAATTTAAAATTTTAAATAATTTTCCTGTCTCTGGCCTTTTTCCCCTGTTTCTGTGTCCTACTAATACTAAACAGAACTTGAGACTGGCAGATATCACAGCAGAAGTGCAGATTTAATACTCAGAGAGATCTGCTAATTTTATAAGGGAAAGAAACAGCAAAAAGAAAAGGCAGTATTTACAGGCTGCTAAATAGAGCTGATACGAGCCCTAGTGAAGTGTTAATGAAGTTTCCTAGCCAAGCTTTGGGGTCCTGAGAGTGACCATGCATACCTTCCTCTGTCCATGGGGAGGTAAGATTTGAATTTAGGGATTAATCTGTTATCCAGTTTAATCTGGTGTTGGGCCAGGTGCACTCATCTCCAATGCAAGACCAGCACGTAGAGTGTGTGAAAAAGTTCTGGTTGAGGCTGCTTTAAGGGCTTTGTCAACTGTAAATTTTTATACCGTTCGCATAGCTCGGTTGGATTGCACTTGCAATCTCCGATCTCCTGGAGAGAAACTGAACAAACTCCGGCGTGACGACAAATTTATTTAAAAACGAAGAGGATTCGGGGGGTATTTCAGGTTACTGACAATCAGTGGAGAACCACCCCTGCCCGCTACCGCACGGGTCTGCCGGCACTCCAGGGGGAGCAAGGGCTGACGGCCCGGCCGGGGGTGCGCGCGGGGTTAGGGTCCCCGGCCGCTCTGCAGCTCGGGGCCGGTTCGGCGGTTGCGCCGGGCCCTGTTACCTTCTCCAGCGTCCGCTGAACCGGCGCCGCCCGTCTAGGCCTTCTCCCGGGGCCGCGCCCCACGCGGCGCCACCAAGGCCACCCTCACCGTCACCAGAGCGGCGGTCCCGCTGCGAGTCGGGCCGGGCCGGGCGGCAGAGGCGGAGCCACGCCTGGGGCGGGGCGGTGGCAGTCGCTGCCCCAGTGCGGGGTGGGCGGGCGGCCCGGTGCGGGGTGATGGAGTTGCGGGGCCTCGCTGTCCGCGCCCTGATTCGCAGGGCCCGCTGAGGTCTGGCCGCAGCCGCCGCCAGAACGCGGCTACCCCCGCCCGCCGCCGCCAGCCCCCCACACCGCCGGGACATGGCCACAGAGCCCCCACGGCCGGCGGGGCGCCCCGAGGGCGGGCGCGGGTGCTGCGTAGGCGGCGGGCGCGGCGAGACGGAGGAGGCCGAGGCCGCGGCCCAGCCAGTGCTCAGCGCCTCCCCGGACTCCGCGGCTGCGGGGGACGGCCGACGGCGGCCGCTGAACGGATGCGTGCCGCTGTCGCACCAGGTGGCCGGGCACATGTACGGCAAGGATAAAGGCGGTGAGCGGCGATGGGCGCGCGGGGAGGGGGCGGCGGGCCTGGCCGGGTCACCTGTGAGGGGGTTCTTTCACTCTACCCACTCTACCCTCGGTTTACCTGAATTCTCCCAGACCGGCTGTGACGGATTTGGCTTCTATTTCCCTCACGCCCTGGCGGCGAAGGGGCAGCTCCGTGACAGGCGGTCGGTGAAGGCGGCAGTGACGCCGGGGGGCGAGCGGAGGACTCGCCGCCGCCTTTTCCGTGCTCTCGCCGCTGGGCTTTGCCCGCACCTGTCCGCTAGAGGTGCCGCAGCAGCGCGGGTGGTCGGTGCTGGGGCTTGGGGTAGTGCTGAGGGATCGGAGCCTCCCTGAGAAGGCCGGAGGTGGAGGCGGGGGGAGGGTAGTGGTCCGGCCGAGCTCCCCGCTACGCACAGGCTGTGGATGGAGCGGTGTAACCGCTGCCATATTTAATTATTCTGGTGCTTTTCCTAAATGTCATTAGTCTGTCAAGACGTGATAGTTATCAGGCACCCTTGAACCGAATGACTTATGCCGTTTAGCTTCATTTTATCAGGCACTTTTGTAAAAGTGGGAATTCAGGTAACAGCATGCTGGTTCCCTCAGAACATATGTCAAAAACGTGGTTTATCTAACGAGACCACCTGAACCTGTGGCCACCAGAAACTTCAGCAAATTATTATTATTAAGCTATTGGTTAAGCTTGTTTATTTGATGATAAACCTGAACCAATGGCTAGGAAGTGATCTAATAATACAAATACTTGAGGATACAGCATTTTAAAATATCCCTTCACCAGCTCTAAATTTCTATTTTAATTCCATGGTGAGGAATAAGGTGTTGGCCCTTCTGATGAGGGGCCTTTTAGCTTAGGCAGTGGTCAGTGCCAAAGCAAGTGGCCAAGTTAATGTTGCCAAATGGCATTTCTCACCTTTCTAGGATGTCACATTTGGGGCAATTCTAGCCTCTCAGCCAAACGGAAGGTATGCATCCATTCAACTTGCAGCGTGCCCTCTGAGAGTACCTATAATGAGTACCTACTAGTGTATTGCCTTTAAACCCAGGTGGTAGGAACTGCCCCTGCTGAGTGGGCCAAGGGTTGAATTACAGAACCCTGACAGCCATCAGTGAGTGAAATTACAGCACTAATGGCACTGTGAGTTTGTCTTATCTACAGTCTGCATCCATGGTGTGCCTTGCTGCAGATAATCTCAAAAAAAAAGTCATTCTTCTCTTTGCGCCTGCCAAGGGCTGAACTTCAGATCTTTTTCAATCATCACTGACTGAAATTACAGCAGTAAGGGTGCTATGAGTTTGTCTTACCTACAGCCTGTTTCCATGGCATGGCTTGCTGCTGATAATCTCCACACAAAAGTAATTCCTGTTCCTTGCCCCAGCTTCAGACGGTGCAATAAAATGTAGATGGGGGTGCATTGGATCCTTGAAGATGTATGTGTTCTGTGCTCATACATCATAGCATGAGGTGGGATCAGGCAAAAAAAGGCCTACTTCAGGGAGAGCTTGACCTTTGGTACATCAGTTTTACTGCAGTTAGATCAAACAGCACAGGTGATCATCTATATTTTGGGTGCCACTCCAATGGATTAGGTAAAGCTAGCTCTCCTTGGGCAAGACCAAGACTTTTCTGAAGAGGTACCACCATGGTTGATGATCTCATCTTGAAAACCGTTTAATGTTGAAGTGAAGACCAAAGCTGCTCTGGTACTCACAGCTCTCATTTTTTTAACTCGATTTTCCCTTCTATTCCCACATACAAACAGACAGAGGACTTGAAGGTATCCAAAGTATTTTTAACTCTTATTTTTTTAGTAAAAGTACACTGTAAAATTTCTCCTGAATAACCTTCCTTTTTCCCGTTGTTTCCTGTGACTCTTACTGCCTTGCAAAGAAAGGCTTCTCACAGACTCTGCATGCATGTGTAGACATTAGGCTTCTGTGCATTGTGACTGCCCTTTTGTTGAATGCTGTGTGCAGTAGTACTTCCTGCAGATAAATTGTGTGTAGTAAGCAAAGAAATTACTTTGGCTTGTGGCTTAATTCTGTAGGTGGGTCGAAAGAGACACAAACTGGTGGATATGTCACCTTATAGAGCCTCCTGCACCTGGCAGGAGTTTGGTGGTTTGGTGTCTGTACCTGCAAAATGCTGGGCTCCAAGCCATTAGTAGGATTCTGTAGCTAAAGGGTCCATTCTCCTTCAGAGTGACTTGCTTGCTCATTTTGGAATGGTAGCAAGCATTGTGACCAACAGCCAGAGAGAAATGTTTGTGTGAAATATTTCAGGATTTTATTTTCAACATAGTTCTGTTGATTCATAAGAAATGTTAATTTGCTTTTTCATATATTAAAACAGTCCTATTCCCTATCGGTGCTGAAAAATCCTGGGAAGCCTACAACAGGCGCATGACCAACATCCATATGTTAGTATGATCTGCAGGTGATGATTTCTCTGTTTCTTGTTGTAGATCAGAGGGAAGGTTATGGAGTTTTCATCTTTGTGGTGAATATTGAAACATGGCTCTGGTTTTCAGGCCTGCCCCAGTCACAGTGACAGAGCAGTGCAGTAAGTGCTCTGGTCCGTAAAGAATGCAGAGAATGAGGGAACTTTAGATGTCAGTTTATATAAAACTCTTCAGTTTATATGTATCAACCCAATAGTGTATGGATTCTGCTTCCAGGAATCTTTTCCTGGTCTTTCTACCTATTGTCTGCTTATCAAAGCCAAAATACAGATTTTTGAGGAGCATGTGTTATAAAGCCTATTTTAATGTTTAACCTATTTTATTTTAATATGGTTGTTAACAATTTGCATTCCATTGAAGTATTTGGTGCACTTTGCAGAGTGGTTGCAATGCAAAGGGGTACAGGGAGGGGAACACAAGCTGCTGTGTCTTGAAGATGTGGTAGGCTGCACATGTATGGCAATACTTTTCTAGTTTTGGAAAGTATATAAAATCCAACTTTACGCAAGAAACATGACTTGAGAGCTGTTTTACTCAAATTTAAAAGCAAATCTTTGGCATAGCACACTATTGAAACAACAATTCTAAGTCTGGTGGTTGTTTTAAAATAAATATCTTGGTCTTTAAAGATTTTGTTTAGTTTCCAAGACTGCACAACAGAGCCCATTCATAGGTAATGGTTTTTAAGAGGGATGCAAAGCTCCTGGCTCATTTTTCTGTTTTCTCACATGGTAGTTGAAAATAGAATCTATTTTGGATGCAGTTGACATTTTTGCTACCCTTCTAAGCAAAATGAATTCCTGTCTGCAAAGCCAGAAATTAATCCTAGGAGAAAATTTATTTTCCAGAAGTGGGATTTTATTTTACCCTTGCACCTCATGATGCAACACAGTACACATTTCAGAGGAATGCAGTTACTTTTCTCTGTTCTTGCCTACATCCATCTCTTGAGTATCCTCAGCTACTCAGTTGCATTTCTTTTGCAGGTATTCAGAAATACTGGTGACTCGAGAGTCATAAGGCTGTTTCATGAGGGTATTTTTGAGGTTTTTTTTGTGCAGGCTTGATGAAGGTGTTGCTGGGATGAAATTCTGTACTGTAATTATGGGTGATACAAATAGTAGCATCTATAGCTTGGAGTGCTGTAGGTATGCTACTTCTTGTTGTAAAGACATATTCTATCTGTGCCAATAGTATAGATGTACATCTACAGGACATTTATTTCTGTTCTAGTAGTGACAATGCATTAAATGTGGTACTCCTTTAACATCTTTGCATTGTTGCAAAACAATTTATGAATTACTTAGAAAGGGAATGTCTATGTAATCTTCTTAATGATGGGGTTTTTGGGCAAGTTTTAGTGTCAAATCCCAGTGCTGTGTTGGCCTTGGACAGAACTACACCCAGGAAATCATTTGATGGGTAGAAATAAGAGGAATGCAAGGAAACCTCTGCTAAGAGTTATATGTAGGAGTGGATAATTTTTTTCTCTACTGTGTACAGTGGAAGCAGTACAGCTTTTCAACAGGCTGTCCTTGATGGTGAAGTCACTATTTCTGGGGAATAAAAAAAAAAGCGAAAAAGAAAGCCATACCTATTACAACTAAGCCCTAAAGGAAATGCTTCTCTTCTAGGCATACTGCAGCATCCAGATGGAACTGTCCTGAAGCAGTTGCAGCCGCCACCTCGTGGTCCCAGGGAGCAAGAGTTCTACAACAAGGTGAGGGTCCCACAGTGTGGAGAAGGCTGGCTTGCTCCAGGTGAAATGAGGGGTGTGCTTCCTGTAGAAGTACATCCTTATCATTTGCAGTTGGGAAAGTGCAACCTAAATACCCTGCCATGGTATCTGTGTGTTCTCTAGAACTTTCTGCTCCTTGCACGTCAGTCCTCATGCCAGACCTACTTATTTGTAGGATTTAAGCTTGCTTATTTGTTCATAGGACAGAAAACTTTCACAGCATCTAAGATTTTATTGAAAAGCCTTATCTCCTGTCTATGTTTAAAGGGTTGTGTGTTTGATCCCAACTTTCTCATATAGACAAGTCTCTCAAAATTGCTTGCATCTAAATTGAGCATGTTTAACTCTTCTTCCTAGCCTGCTTTGCTGCTAGAAATATTTTTCTGTATTAAAACTCATTTCCTTGAAAAAGTCAATAAAAATCAAAACTCTCAAGTTGTTTTAACTTCAGTGGTTGTATTTTTCCTATTGCTCATCTTCAGTTTGTTTTATCAGTAACTTTAACAAGTGTAGACCAGGAAAACTGTTGCTTTCCTGTGAACAGTTCTGGAGCCTGCTGTGTCCTACCTGCCTGTGATAGTCTGTCATGCGGTTTTCTTGTATCAGATTGATATGCCATGCCTTTCCGTGGCTTATTAGGTACAAAGAACTATCAAAATTTTGATGCTTGGTGTAAGAGGAGTCTTGAGATCCTCTACTTGTTATGGCTTGGATTTTGGTGCGTTGGTTTCTTTTTCCCTAAAAGGGTATTTATTTGTTACCAAAAGACCTTGCAGATTTTTTGAAAATGTCTCATATAAACAAAGCAGGGTGCTTTAAGTGAAGAGTGTGTTTGCATAGTAGCATTATTTGATAATTCTTATGATGGGACAGAACAGCAGCTCTTGAGTTACTAGGAGCTAGCTAAATGTAAATATTTTTCTATGTTTCTCTGTGACTCTTGTTGAGATGAGGTTAAGAAATATGCTGTCCAGCCTGACTGGTAACTTGAGTAGAAGGAGAAAGCTTGAAAAGACTCCTTTGGGCTCCAGGCTACTTACTGTGCTGTGAAATCCTCAGGCAAAGACAGTAAGGTGCTGTCTCTGCCTAAAGCCAGCAGGTAAGAGGGGTAAGTTCAGGCATTGCTTGGACATGAACTCTTTACATCAGAGACTTTACAATTTTGCTTGTTTAGGCTTAGACTCAAGCCATAAGCAAGATCCCGGGCAAAGTCTTTGAGAAGGGTGTGTCTGTAACACTTATTACTGTGCTGTGAAGAAGTCAGGTCTCAATACTAGTAACTTCCAAAGTAAGCTTCTATTCTGTCTTCTAAGGCCTTGCTGGGTTGTTTCGAACACTGAATTTTTTTGATTATAAGCCATCTTGGAAAGGGGTTAGGCAATTCCTAAAAAATACTAGAGAAAGGGAAAAATGTAGACATGATTAATTGTGTGTGCACTAGAAGGCTTTTTAGTGGGAGAAGGGAAGGAGAGCATGTGCATGTGTATTGTATTGGTGAAAGTACAGGAGAAGGGTCTTGGGGATTTGTTGCTTTTCAGTGATTAACTGCTGTCATGTTTACTCTCAGGCAAGAACTGTGTGATGTGGGCTATAGACGTCTAAGCACTACATATTGTTGTTGTAGGATAATAATTGCTCTGGGTTGGGAGGTTCAGGATAAGGTGCAGTTTCACATGCAGCTTGAGCTCATCCAAAAGCTCATAGTTGCCAAAAGGGAAATGCCTTTCTTCTCATTCCTGACATTTACCTTGCACCGTGATAGTGCTCTTTGGACATTTGTGTACTGATCTGACCTATTTAAAAGATGGCAAAGCTTCCTTGTCTTGGTAGTCTTCTGGCAGTTTAGGTGACTAAGCTGGCAAGCAGTGGGAACAATGGCAAGGCTGCCCTGTCTTGCTGACTGAGTTCACCCATTTTGTGAGCTATAATCAGAGAGACATTATCACCTTGGAGAAAGCTGATGAACCTCCAGAGATTGAGGTTTTTTTACCTCTCCTTGAGCCAGAGAGTTGTTCAAAAGGTGGCCATGTACAGGAAATGGTGAGAAACAGTGCAGAAATGAAACAAGTGAAATAAGACTGATGAGTCCCAAGCTCTCACTTTGTTAGGGCAAAAGAGCAGGTTGGTTGGTAAGATCAAAGCAGGTGGTTGTCCATTAGTATATGTGGATTAATTGAAACTTTTTTTTTTAAATTTCTGTCCCTGTTTTCTCATACGTGCTTAGAACTGTTTTGTCTGTAGGTAGGTGAGTTATTGCTCCCTTTGCATCCCACCTTATACTAGCATGAATGAAAATTGGTGTCCCAGTACCTCGGTCAGAATCAAAGGGTGTTGCTGCTGGAGACGAATAGATCACACAAATCCAGCTTGAGGTGTGGTGAAAGGAAGAGAAAGCTTTATTTCTTCTCTCAGAATTTATAGGTTTCTGACCATGGCCAGGGATTGGATAGTCAGGATAACACCTATCCTAACTGCACTGTCCGTGAGAGATGTCCATCACAAGATGTGTATCAGAAAGAATGTATACATATCTATGCTTACAGTTACTGTCCTGGGAAAGTCTTTAGAAAACTATGTCAGCAAGCTCAGATGCTGAGTTTTCAGGGCGACAAAAAGGGGTGTCTTTCCTTCTGGAATAGCACTCTTCCTCATGTGAAATAACTGAGAAGCTCTGTAGTTTACGGTAGCAAGAAGGTGAGCATGTCTAGTTTCATCTGTATGAGTCAGCTGGAGAGCAGTTATCACAGATCTGAAGCAGAAGTGTCTTTCAGGAGATATGAAATGGTATTTCAGTGTGTAGTCACACAGAATCACAGAATGACTAGACTTCAAGATGGAGTCCAACCCATGCCCTAATACCTCAACTAAACCATGGCACCAAGTGCCACATCCAGTCTTTTTTAAAACACATCCAGGGATGGTGACTTCACCACCTCTCCAGGCAGACCATTCCAGTATTTTATCACTCCTTCCGTGAAGAACTTTTTCCTAATGTCCAACCTAAATTTCCCTTGACACAGCTTGAGGCTGTGTCCTCTCGTTCTGTCAGTTGCTGTCTGGTGAAAGAGACCAACCCCCACGTGACTGCAACCTCCTTTCAGGAAGTTGTAGAGAGTGATAAGGTCGCCTCTGAGTCTCCTTTTCTCCAGGCTAAACAACCCCAACTCCCTCAGTCGTTCTTCATAAGGCTTGTGTTCCAAGCCCCTCACCAGCCTCATTGCCCTCCTCTGGATGCGCTCAAGCATCTCAACATCCTTCCCAAACTGAGGGGTATAGATGTACAAATCACATGCAGTGAGAGACTTCTCCAGGGTCAAGCTATTCAGATATAAGCAATTTATTATATAGGTAGAGGGAGGAAGAGACCTGTTTCTGCCACCAGCCATGGTGTACACATGGTTGGGGAGGGAGAGAGAGAGAGACTGGAGAGGGGAGAGAGAGAGTGTAGGAGAAGGGAGTAAGGGAGCAAGTTAAGAGCAGGTGGAGAGGGGAATGAGGGTTAAGAGAGATGCAGAAGTTAAGAGAGCAAGAGCTAAGAGTTAAGTTCTCGTTACAATACATTATTGTTGTAGTCTGCAACTGCAGGATCAGGTCCAGGGGTGTTATTTTCTGGGAACCAGCATGTAATACGAGACAGGCCTCTGTTCATGAAACCATTTACTCAGCATGGGAACAACTCAGACCCAAACCGGAGAGCCCCGAACAAAGGCAGGGCAGGGGTTTTTGAGGGACAGAACTCTTGAGGGTCTCCACGTTTAAGGGTGGAGTTCAGGGTTAGGGACCACTAGAAACACAACAAGGGAGAAACCCCCAGGGACTCAAACCCAATCAGAACTCCTGGGCCACCCTTCACAAGGGGTTTGAGGTGGGACAACTTCATCCAGGGCTCATATGTCCATCCCCCAACACAGGGTGTCAAAATTCACACACATGGCTTACAGCCATGCCTCTCACTTTAACAGTGGTTATCTGAAACTAACTCTTTGCCTCCCTGAGGCACCTCACAACACATTATATCCTTTTCTATAGTGAATATTCTAATTCCCAGTAACCAACCACTACAAGACACACATACCAGAGAATTTACATATAGCCTATAAGAACTACCATACAGTGTTACATTTTAAACTCTAAAAGCTACCTTTCAAATTCTTCTTTTGCTGCTTTTGACCTTTGGATTCTCTATCAGCATAAGGATATTGTTTCATCAACAAGGATTCTCCTTCAGCTGGCTAGGCTATTCTTTGCTTATATAGTAACTAGCACTCAGTATCTTATGACTCAAAGCTAGCTTTCATTTCTGTTTTGATTCTAGACTTCATATTTTCAGAATCCTTTGCTAAACAATCATATTCATAAGGTTTCCCTGTTTCATCTTCCCCAACAAGGGGCCCAGAACTGGACACAGAACTCCAGCTGTGGCCTCACCAGTGCTGATTACGGGGGAAGAATGACCTCCCTGCTCCTACTGGCCACACTATTCCTGATACAGGCCAGGATGCTGTTTGCCTTCTTGGCCACCAGGGCACACTGCTGGCTCATGTTCAGCCTGCTGTCGACCAGCACCCCTAGGTCCCTTTCTGCCTAGGCACTGTCCAGCCACACTGTCCCCAGCCTATAACACTGCAGGGGGTTATTGTGCCCAAAATGCAGGACTCAGCACTTGGACTTAATAAACTTCATCTTATTGGACTTTGCCCATTCATCTAAACATTACAGGTATCTCTGCAGAGCCTTCCTGTCTTCCAGCAGAACTACACATGCTCCCAACTTAGTGTCATCTGCAAATTTACTAATGAAAGACTCAATACCCTCATCCATGTCATCAATAAAAATATAGAACAGGACGGGCCCTAGCACAGACCCCTGAGGGACACCACTGGTGACTGGCTGCCAGCTGGATGCAGCACCATTCACCAGCACTCTCTGGGCCCAGACATCCAGCCAGTTCTTAACCCAGAAAACCGTGCTCTTGTCCAAAC